GCATCCGTATAAAGGCATTTTCAGAAAATATCATTCATTTTCCTCTTCTTCTTCTTCTAACTCTTATGTTCTTCTAAACATGGAGTTGCGATTCCAGTTCATCCAACCCACTGGTTTATGTTATTTGTTATTAAATCAAATTAATGTATATATATATATATATATATATATATATATATATATATATATATATATATATATATATATATATATATATAATGATATATATTTTATATTATTATAAGATTCAATATTTACTACCCATGCATACATTAAATTTTATAAATTACCTCCAAAGCCTAATGTTCCATAAAATAATTTAGAATTTGTATCAAGACTAATGAGAAAAACTAAGAAGAAAACGAATTAAAAAAATTAAGAAATAATAAATAAACCACACTCTGAAGCGTCACATTAGCGTCAAGGGTTCAGGAGTATGGTATCAGGAGAGCAGAAGCTCCTAGGCGCTAAGGCTCACTGTCTGAGCTATAGCCTTAGCTCAACTAGAATGCAACTTCTCGGCAATCGATGTGTTTAAAGCCTTATTATCTAGCGAGACTTTCAGAGTTAATATTTAAATGTTTCACACGTAGTATGGGCATAATATACGCACATATTTTGTTTTATTTTAATATCATTAAAATAGATGTATGCTGTAAACCATCAACTTTGTCGATGGGGCATTAAAACTACCTAAAATTGTCTTTTACACAACAGCTCACAGTTATTAAAAATGAAAAAAAAAATATTGGAAATTGACTATTACACTCTATGTATGTAAAAAAAATATTGGACACAGATCCCGGCCTTCGCTCCGATGGGGGTCTTGTAGCCGAGAAAAAATATTTTATATCATTTCAAGAGAAATTTATGTATTGTTTTTTCCTATCGTTGCTTTGCCCGGGTTTCTTCAATGTTACTACGTTATAATCGATTAATTGATTTGTGTAGTATGACAAAGAATATTACCGATCGTCAAAAATTATTTCATAGATACAGTGTAAATGGGAGGGAGAACGGACAAGCCCCCAGTAGCCTGGATTTCCAAGGGGTCCCATAAGAGATTACATAAAAAATGTTTATTGTCTGAGTTTTCGTTAAACAAATATATTCTGATAAAAAACATGATTTCTATCAATATATAATTAATACTATTACTTATAATTATAAATTATTGAAATTGTGGGAATTATTTTTTATTCTCTAATTATTAAACTAAAAAGGTGCACAGAAGTGGGTGGGTCAATAAAAAATAGATTAGTTGTCTAAGACATTTCACTAATTCAATTGGCAAAATATTGAATTTTAACGTTGTACGATCCTTCAGAATCCGACCATGGAAAAATGTTTGAATTTGCAAAAAATTTTTTCGACATTATTATTATTATTTTTACTCACACTTTGTATGTTATGTACGATTTCTTTTTATACTCATGAATAGTTATCCCACACGAAACACTGTCACCTTTCTTGAATATAGGTGATATAAAGCCATTCCGGAGATCTTCAGGAATCCTATCGCCTCTCAATATCAGCTTAATCATATCGAGAAGTACGCTCATCATGTTATCTCCCCCATATTTTAGCAGTTCCGCCGAAATTCCGCCTGGTCCAGGGCCCTTTCCGTTTTTAGAACTTTTCAGAGCCTGAATCAATTTTTCCTTGGCCACCTATATTCCGGCCTCCGGCGTTCTGACAACTCTCTCTTCCGCCATAAACTGGATGCGGCTCTCTCTCTCTAAGGAGATCTTCAAAATGTGTCTTCCACTCTTTCTCGCTGATTGGTGAGAGAATATTTCCTTTTCTAGGTTCCCTCAGCATCTTTAAAATACTCCAGGATTCTTTGACTCTGTTGTATCCCAGTGTGCTATCTATGCGCCGGCAGCACCTTGCCCATGACGCAATTTTCCAGTGTACCACAAGGCTCTTAACTTCCTTATTTAATGTTCTATAGACAATCCAATCTTCGTTAGTTTTTGAGGAGAGGTATCTCTGGTATACCATTTTTTTCTGATCTATACACTTTGCCACCTCATCTAACCACCAGTCCGGTTTAGGGCGTCCTTCCTTCACACCGAGGGCCTCACCCGCTGCTGCGTGTATGCATTCCCTCAGGTGTGCGTACGTTTCCGAGTAACTCACTCCCACATCGATCTTTACTTCTAGTCTTCTTCTGTACAGATCCCGGATGCTTATGTCTCCCAATTAATCCAGCCGATAGTGAGGAATGGTTTCTGCTTCAGTCATTATTTCACCTTTGCGTTTATTGCGAACCAAGGAAGGAAGGAAAAGGAAAATCTTGGCACGTAGCATATGGTGGTCACTTCCACATTCCCACCCTCTGAACACACGCACATCATCCACCTTCAGCGTGCTTTGTTGTTTGGATATAATGTAATCCAATATTGATGACTGGAATCCTGGTTTATTCCATGTGGCTTGGTGGATCCATTTGTATTTAAAGAAGGTGTTTTCAACCGTTAAATCGAACGATTCATATTCAGTAGTCGTCTTCCATTTTCGGTGGCAGTCTCCTCTCCATAGTGTCCAACTACTTGGCTTCCAATCTCACATCCAAATCGAGCGTTGAAGTCCCAAGAAGAATGATTTCTTCGTCTTTACGCATGTATTATGTAAGTTACTAAATATTTAAATTTATATATTTATTAAAGTTACTAAATATTAATTAAAAATATTTAATTAATTCAAATCTAAAAAATAATATCATAGAATGAGGTTTTGGTATTTCGTAGCATGGAATAAAATAAAAAAATGAAATCTCTCAACCTTCTATGTCCTCTCGAAATTATTGCTTTTATTTATTTTATAAAGCTGATAAAAAAATTATTTTAAAGAATAGCCATCTCATGAATTAACTTACTACTGTAACTATAAAAACTTTTTAAACGACAATACTACCTCGCTTATCCGCCCTAGTAAGAATCAAGACATGACCAGTTAAAATGAAATTAAAAACTAAAAGTATCTACAAAAATTAATTCATAGCTTGTATGTGTATTAATATATGATGCATTTAAATTGATTAGTCCAGCGTATAGTAAATTTTCTCGAATATGTGATTTAATTTAAGTGAATAAACGATTGTTCGCTATTCAATAGTCTTCAAAAGACCCGCTATCATTTTTTTCTCTTAACCGATGCTAAGTGTTATTAAAAGTGCTTTCTAGGCTATTGAAAAACGTAAAATACATAATCCCTCTTCTTTCACTCTATAGCATGATTTACATTATTTGTTATTCTGATAATTTTCCCTTTATTAGTTTGCTAACCCATTAATTCTCTTAATATAAATTGATAGGTCAATATTTGTTGCAATAAAAACAACTATCTCATTTGTTTCAATAATATAGTTAGCTGAAGCTATCTTATTCTGAGAGAAAAAAAATATTCATATATTTTATCCCCGGTTAATCCGAAGAGCGGGTTACTGTAAATATTTTATAGAACATTTATTTGTGATTATGATGGTATCAAAACTAATTTTCTGTGACTTACAGATCAGTAATGCTAGTTTTTGTTTCCTGAAACAAGATTTTCAACCACCATGGAGTTTCAATACCCAGGGTGAGATTTTACTGTGCGCCTCCCTGCTCTCCATACTCCATCTCAAACCTGCTACTAGTCTATGATCTCGTGTTTAAATAAAAGGGGTGAATAGAGATAATAATAATAAAGGATTAGCGAAACTGAAGTCTCGATTTCTTTCTACTTTTTGGTTCTTTTGACCTTAACTCAGTTAATAACGCGAGTTAATTATATCTAATGATGTTATTTCGAAATACATCGCCTAAAATACTGATATAAAATGATGGCTTTTATTGGGTGAGTGGCAAAATATAACAATGAATTTGAAATTGTCTTTCAATTAACGTTTTATGCATTCCGCATCTACTCAAGCGGGTCATTAGCGGTAATTAAAGTTTTTTTGACCATTCGTACAGTGATGGAAAAAAGTATTTGCACATCATGTTTTTATGAATAAATGAGTTCAAGGAACCAAAAAACTTCGTTTTCTTCTGCAAAAATGAAAAGTACATTTGTTAAAAACTGAGAAAAACCTTTTGGAAAAAAATGACAACACTCCACAATGAAACAAAAAAATTAAAACAATAAAAGTGCTTGGAAAAAAGTATTTGCACACTACGACTCACAAGCTCTGTTTACTTTAGCATTAATCCTCCTCTATCCATAAGTCATAGGTTTGTTTACTAATTTATCTCTAATCGTTTATTACCAGTATTTTCTATTCTTTCAATCAATTTCCTTTATTCAATAGACAATTATCATGCCAAAGACAAGTGAACTGTGTGCCGCAACTCGCGAAAAAATTGTTTTACTGAGGAGTCAGCAAAAAACATATCGCCAAATTGCCAATTTCTTAGGGTTGAATTTTTCTACAGTGAGATACGTCATAAAAAGGTATGAAAAACGTGGTTCAACTGAAAACAGTGAGCGTAAAGGGCTTCCAAAAAAGTTAACTCCCAGGCTGAAGAGGAAAGTCAGAAAAAAGCTCTTAAAATCCTCTGACAAGTTTTCGGGAGCTGGCTACCATAGTCCAATCAACGTCTCAAGTTCAAATTACTAGCAGAACAATTAGATATACCCTGAATTCGGAAGGGCTCCATGGTAGAGTTCCAAGAAAGAAGCCATACATCAGTGAAACGAATCGCAAAAAGCGCCTTGCTTTTGCTAGGGAGTACGTACAGGAATCCTTAAGCTTTTGGGAAAATGTCATGTTTTCTGACGAAAGAAAATTTAATTTGTTTGGTTCAGATGGTCAGACGATATGGCAACATCTTAATGAAGCCCTAAAGAAGCAAAATGTTTTAACAACTGTAAAGCATGGTGGAGGACATGTTATGGTTTGGGGGTGTGTTTCCTGCCATGGCGTTGGAAATCTTGTGAGCATCGAAGTCATTTTAAATGCGGAAGGCTATGTGGACATTTTGCGACGTAATTTGCGTGTTAATGCTGAAAAAATGGGAATCCAGGATCAGTACTATTTCCAGCAGGACAACGATCCAAAACATACTGCGAGGAGTACAAAGGAGTGGTTAATATTTAATGTTCCAAGACAGCTCCACACTCCTCCTCAGTCACCAGATATAAATATCATTGAAAATTTATGGCACACCCTTGACCAAAATGTGAGAAAACACCATATCACTAGTGGACATCACCTTAAACAACTTCTTGTTCAAGAATGGGAACAAATAAACGTAGATTTAATTAAAGACCTAGTGCATTCAATGCCCAGACGTCTACAAGCAATTATTGACGCAAATGGCCTATTTACAAAATACTAAAACTATTTAAATTTAAAATAAACTTGTAAATGTGGAAGTGTGCAAATACTTTTTTCCAAGCACTTTTATTGTTTTAATTTTTAAGTGTTTGATTATGGAGTGTTTTTATTTTTTTGTAAAAAGGTTTTTTCAGTTTTTAATAAATTTACTTTTCATTTTTGCAAAGGAAAGCGAAGGTTTTTCTTTCCTTGAACTACTTTATTCATAAAAACGTGTTGTGCAAATACTTTTTTCTATCACTGTATGTATATGAAACTTTTATAACCTCGTAGCGTTTTTAATACACAAACTAAACCATTAATGACCCAAAAATCGCTGTTTGGCATATTGCGGGAGGTTTCATTGTTGTTATACGCTTCAGTTTACATGTATTTCTATTGTTTTTCTTCGTTACATTAATATTTATTGTTCATTTTAAAATCATCTGTTTGATGTTTTATAATGGAGCTTCTACATATCAATGATCACCCCAAAAGTATAACTGAAGAACAAATATTGTACGAAATTCTGGTCCATAAAGATTGGAAACTTGACCCAGAACAATGGGTATGTTGTACTCTTTTATAATAAAAAGACATCTCTCCTGTCGCTGTAAATTTGTGTCATATGATTGCTTATATTTTTATGAATGAATCAATCTGTAGGTTTTATTGTAAATTATTGTATTATATTTTGTAAATACATTATTTCTAATTCAGTATTTGTTTTTTATTTTAATCCCTACTCTGCTGAGTTTTTCCTCTCTATCTATATTTATTTTTCAAAATTTTTTGGTTAAGTATTAACATATTGGATATTCTATTAAAAGTTTTCTTTGTAAATTATCAAATTATAGATTTACATTGCATTAATTATGCAAAATTAAGAACAGGCTTTGCAGTATTCTTAATTCTTTTACATGTCTTGAGCGAGTAATTAATACTTTTATTAATGGAACAAATGTAACAGATTATAGTTGGTGGTGATAATTTACACTCGAGCATTTACAGTTTTAAGTATAATTCCAAGTTATGGATATGATTCAAGCTTTGTATATACGTATATTAGTACATAAACTTGTTTTAATTTCTAGTCATTTTCACGTTCATAGTCAACCCTATCACGTTATTAGGGTTTTACTCATTTTATTTTATTTACATTTGACCATTGAATGGATTTACAGAATGTTTCTTTAAAATCTTTGCTGACAGAATTTTGAATTATTACTGGAATTTATCTTTATTAATGAAAAGAAAAAAATTAATTCAAGAAGAAGTTGATTTGAGAGTGCTGCCAAAGATAGAAACGGTGATGGGTATAAACATATTTTTAATGTATGCCAACATTTTGCCCTAGGTTGTTATGAGTTCATAGGAAAGGGACAATAACATATAAAGGGGCCACATGCTTTTGATCTGGAGGTCTTCATAAATTACATCTACGGATGTCTCCACTATTATCTAAAAATGTTTAGTTTGAAAAAAAAATTGAAGAACCTGAATATAAGAAAAGAATATATTTTTCAATATGATCAGATTGAGTGGTCCTCTACATTACTTTGAACCAGATTTTTTATAATTTTCTTTGATTGTGTTTTAATGAAGTAATTCTTACTTTTACTTACTATTATTACTACTAGTAAATATTTAATAAGTGGAAGTATTACACTTGTGAAAATTTTTGGGAACTTATAACCATGTCTCACAAAATTGTGTTTGTATTGGTTATATGAATAGTCTATGTCAAAAACAAAAAGTAGATAGGAGAAATATTTTTCTAAGATAAATAAAAACAAATTTCCAGAAATAATAGCAGTAATATACATGCAAAATATTACATCCTCCTAAAATACAAAATAGTACATTGGAAAGCTAATAATTTAAGAATTATTAATATCTAACATAAATTCATAGAAGGCGATGAAGAGTAACAAAACACATGTTATTTTAATTACTTTAAATCTGACAGTAAATTTAAATAGTAACTATTTCTACTTGAGAAGAAAATAATTTCTTCTTAGTGTAAATTGAAAGTTGTGTGATGTGCATATGCACTTGATTTTTTTTTATTGTAATGGTATTTTAAAAATTACATTAGCTTCTATAATTGTCAATTAAAAAAAAAAACTGCTTTTACTTGTGGATTTCCAATGTGATATTTTATTAATTAAATATATATATATAAACTTTTATTAGGAAAAGTATTTTAAATTAATCTTTATTTGATTTTATTAACCATTACATTATTAGCTTTTTTCCTATCTATTGGAGTTACAATCGTAGTATGATTTCTGTTTCCAGAAACCAATAACACAGCACACATTAGTAGGGTATGATAATCCACATAGCTGGTGGTGGAGCTTGCTAGGATTTCATAAAGTTTTTAAGAAAATTCCCTGGCCTGAAGAGGATTTGGCAAAGTAAGTTTTTAAATTGTATATATTTTTATTTATTACTAATTGTTTATCAAAAACAAGTTTGGAACTTAAAAATGTTGACAACAACATTCAAGATAGAAGGACAGAAACAGTAAATGATTTTGAAGAAAAAATAAAAATGATTAATATGACTGTGGAAAAATAAATAAATGAACATGGGATATTAATGTACCTCTTTCTAATAAGTCAAATCAAATAGTTTTGAATAAAAATTAAAATAAATAGATCATTAATATAGTCATAGAAAAAATCTTTTTAATCAAGTAATGTTCTTTTAATATTATTCAACTTGAATTTAGACAAATTTTGCTGAAGTTGCTTAAGACGCTTTGGTACTTTCATGCTTCAATAGTAAATATTTAATGGTAGTATTTTTATTTCAGAAGAAGTTAGTCGGGGATGTGGTCAAAAAATATTATGTTATATAATAGTATATTACTATTATACTATATTATATAATGTAGTATTTTTTTACCGCATTCCCAACTAACTTCTTCTGAAATTAGAATCTACGGTCAACCATCTCCATAACAGTAGTATCTTTATGTAGTTTGAGGCTGTTGAGTTGCACTTCCTTCTGCCTTTTCCTTGATTAATTATCATACCTTCACCACAACTCAGTGCCGGCCATAGACGTTTGGTGCTTCTGGGCAATGACGTCTTCTCCCTCCCCTGTTTTATATTATGTAATATTTGAATTTTATTTCATTCAATATAATCCAGTTGCTTTATTTGTATGCCAAAATTAATTATTTTATTGTGTTTTATATATATTTTGTAAAATTCTTAACATGGGGCGAGTGTCTCTGATGATCACCACCCAATCGGGCGCCCCTCTAGGTCACCCCAAGGCTGGCACTGCCACAACAGATTAATATAACTCCCACTAATGCTCTGTCATTTGTCAAAAATCTCATTTTCAAAGCCATCAGGCTCTCTCTCAAGAAAAATTATCCATTAAAGCTTAAAAGATCCCTTAAATATTTTCAATACCTCTATCTACTAATACTGATGTTTTTTAATCAGTTATCATAATAGTAGCTCACATACTAAGTGAGAGGATAATTGCCTAGGGAAACTTCAGCTTCTTAACTACTTTTTTGTAGTTGGTTAAACAAGTTAAGCTCCAAAAAGATGAGACGTAATTTATATGAGCTTGAATAACAGATTAGTACAGAACAGGTTTGATTTTGGGGTTTAATTAGGATTTTTAGTTTAGATATGGGAACATTTTATAGATTTTTTTTTTTCCGCTGTATCTTTTTTTCTGTTTATGTATTCTGTGAAAGTGAAAAATCTTTTCAGAGTTGAACCAAGGTATTTTACTAATTTAGACCTGAGGATGTGGACTGAATTTGTGCAAATCTGATGGTTTATATGTAGTCGGTGGTTTGGGAAAATTATTTCTTAAGATTTACTAGAATTAATTTTTAATTTACAATTTAGACAATGCTTGTTAATTTTTATTAATTATCACATAGTTATTTGTAAATGGTTAGGTATTATGTCTATGAATATACTCATTATATTATTGATTATCAATTGATAATTTAATGTTTTATTTCAATAATTAATTACAAAACATGTATATGAACTATGGCTCATACTGATTGAAAATAACTACCCTACGTTATCCCCTATATTTCAATCATTTTGGAAATTCAATATTTAGTTTTTAAACTGAATTTAAGCCATTTATTTTTTATATGTTTATTTTAGAGCAGCTGTTTTCCTGTTACCTTGGCAAATCACCTTAAGTCCGAATGGAAAAAGAGTTGCAGTTCTTCAAGATACTGTTCTTGAAATTAGAGCATCCCGAGATGAATACACAACTATAATAGGCCGAGCAACAAGTGTGGTTTACTATTATTATTTTATCATAATATTTTGTGAATAAAGTTTCCACAACTTAACATAATTACTAACATTGGGAAATATTTTTAATGATTTATAAATTGAAGTATATCAGACTTATATTTATTGTTAAAGTGCTCCATGCTGTGTAAGAGCATGGACTTTGTAAGAGCATGTTGATTTTAATATATTAATAATAACTATTTAATTTAGTTTTTGGCAACTAAACTTCCTTAATAATTTTTTTACTTTCACTTACGTATATATGTAATATATAGTAAGGGTAAGTATTGCGATCGTGAAAATTTTGGAATCTAAGTTTTCAACGGAAATACATGTTTTGAGGTCCTCAGAGTTGAAATAACCAAGTGCAGCAAAATGGTCTGTGTGTGTGTGTCTGTCTGTGTGTGTGTGTTAACAGTCTAGCTCATAAACGAAAAGTAGTACGAAACTGATATTAAGTATTTAAGGTTTGTATATGTGCCGGATGTGACAGCTACTTTTTCGTTAAAATCGACTAACTTGAAGTGCCACTTTATATGAACACTGAAACACATTTTTACAATTTTCTCATAAACGACTAACGATTTTGATCAAACTCGGTGTATCATTGTATAATTAAGTGGTCTTTAATATCATTTAGGTCTTATCCCCGTTGATGTCACTTTACAGGGCTTAAATGCCCTATGTTCATATATGTTTTCCTCTAAAGTACCTTTAATATGGTTTATTTTAAAAAGTTAACCATTTTGCATTATTCAGAGTTACGAAAAAATGCTATATATGACTTTTGAAAGAATTCGATAAATTAATAAAGGAGAAAAAAATAAAAATGCAGAAAAACCTGCATTCCTACAGACCGTAGCGCCTAAAAGGATGTACCGATTTCAATGAAACTTGGCTAGTCATTTTCTCGATACCCTTTAAATTTATCTATATAACATACTTCAATGAAAAGAAGATGGAAAAAAAGTTACGAGGTATGTTAAAATTAAATTCCGAATAACTCAAAAAGTATACGCTTTTTTGTAGATATTGTATGTAGATGTTTATGGAATTTCCTAAAAAAACAAATAAAAATTGTTAAAATCGGACAATTAGGAGGAAAGATATGATCTCTAGTTTTTTTCCCTGAAGAGGTGATAATTTGGATAAATTTAAAATATATCTTTTTAATTGTTGTGACTAAAAAAATCTTTTTTCTACAGATATTTAATAAAGTGTCTTTCCTAAGAACATCTTTCATAAGAAAGTAGTACCTAAATTTATAATTTTATTCTGAGTTCTATATTTCAACACTGCAATCACCACCTCTGGAATCAACTTACTCATTGTCTGCATAGATAACTTTTTCAACTAAAAATATCACTCAAAAATGTTGAAATTGGAGTTAGTCATTCTGTGGTTTATGAAATCAGATCTAATGAATTGATTTTTATTGCCTGTCTTCCATATATATATTCCATATACATATAAATAGACATTTTGTAATTATAATGGTCTTAATGACTTGTTATCTGTAAACTTTAAGCTTTAGCTCCGTTTAAAATGCACTTCAAAAAATTTTCTAATAGCCCAGCATTGCCGGAAAATAATTTCTATTCAAAGTAGATCGGTAAGTGAAAGTTGTGTGTTGCGCGCACCAGATTTTTTTATATGTCAAAACTCAAGTATTATTTTATTAAAATTTCAGGGAATCGTCCTCATCTTTAGAGCATCCGAGTCGAGACCACATCAGTATGATAATATATTATTAGTGATGATAATATACTGATGTCGTTTCGACTCAGATGTTCTAAAGATGGGGATGATTCTCCAAAATATAGTATAAAATAATGACATTTAGTTTTTTAAAAATAAAACAAAATTTTAAAGAAGTTATTTGCCAAAAATCAAATCAAATAGATGTAAAAAGAATTCTAAAAAAATTGAAAAGATAATATCATAATTGATACATTGATATTAACATATAACTATTATATATATATGTAATTTTTGGCCTGATATGGTTTTTGTTTTTATGTTCATAATTGTTATTCTGAAGGAACCTTGTCCCAGAATAAAGTTTATTTTCTATATATCTATAAATATTTATAATATATTATCATCCTATATTTATTTTAATTTTGCAGTACCTCGAGATAAAAGACCTCAGTTTCGCAAAATATCTTGGTCGCCGGATAGCCGTATGGTAGCCGTTGCTTCTAGTGATGGCTCTGTTCGGGTATATGATTTTTGTGGAAGTCTCATATTTAAAATACCCCTGGTATGTTATCTGCAATTTGTATAGTTCTTTTGATATTATACTTTCAACAAAATTAATAAACAATTTTTCAAACAGTCCTATGAATGATATTTTCTTTTATACAGGATATGTTGATCAAGATTATTTTTCTTTTCATTTCAGTTGTAGTTTTACCTTTTTGATTGCGTTTCAGAAATCTTTTGTTATTTTGAATATTTTACTTATTATCATTGCTTACTAATAAAGAACTACCAGTTGACTATATTTAGAAATATTTCATTGATTTTGATCCATGTTTAAGGCTTTATTATTTATTAGCTTGCAGAAGATTAAAGCTAGTTTTGTAATTTTTTTTTTTTTCTAGATAGCTCCTGAAAGTATCACCAAGAAATTGATAACTGGTCTTGAATTTATTAAGTCAAGAGATAAAAAAGGTGAATGGTAGGTTATATAATTTATTTGAGATTTAATATACATATGAGGTTCTTATTCCATTAATACAAATTCATCATATTTTTTTTCATCATATAGGAAGCGACATTTTACTATTAACTTTAGAAATAATTTGCATTTTATGAAATTTAGTTTAATTCTGATATTATATTTTCAAGAAATCTAGCAAATATTATGATATAAATATTTGAGCAAGTTCCTAAACTCATCAATTGGATCATCAATGGCTCAGTAGTTCCTTCGTTTTTTTTTTGGGTAGATGGATCTACTTTATGAAACCTCAGTGTTTTTATATCTCAATTTACTTCACTTATTTATATAAAGTTTTCAGTTTTTTTTTGATATGGCCAAGTTTTCCATAACTAAGCGCTGTGCTCATCGATGGCATCGAATCCTTTTCTAAACTGGGCGAAAAAATGTAATAGATGAATTCAGCACTGTGTTAAGAAACTTGTCCTTTTTGTGGTATATCTTTTTGGAAATTCACCAATTAGGTAGATAAATATTTCTTTATACATTCCTATATTTATCATGTGTTTAGTAACCTTTCAGAAATGTTAACCTTCAATGGAACCTGTCAGGTCGATGCTAACTGAGCATACATCTCTACCCATCGCGAAGATTTAATCAGTTGATGGAATCCATCGATGGAATTAGTGCTGAGTTTAGGAACGTATTCTTTTTTTTATTAAGTAATGTTAGTTCTTAGAATTCTAATGTTTGTGGTATTTGTTAAATAGCCGGTCGGGTCGAAACCTCCCTTGTTATCAAATATTTTCAAGACACCGGGATAATTGCAAAGGTGAAATATTGTGATGAAGGTTATGAAATGAAGTTGTACAGGAAGAAGAAATGGAGATGCTTTCGTACTTGTAACAAAAACGTTACTATAAGGAAAGGAACGTGGTTAGAGGGGTAGAGGATTTCTTTTTTAATGTCTTTAAAATTCATTTATGGGTGATCCCTTAGTTCAACTATTTCCCCGCTATTTTAAATAGCATAAAACTATTTTCCATACCAATATAAATTAAGTTAAAATAAAATTGTTTTATATATACATTTTTTGTTTAGGTGTTTATATTGTTTCTTTTATATGTACATATGTTGTAATGTTTTTACATTATATATGTATAATGTTGTAGTCTATTCGATATATATATTGTGAAATAAAAGTATTTTTTATTATTACATTTGTTTTTGTTTATAATTTCAATAATATGAATATAATACAATAAATATGAATACAAAGATATTATCAGAATTAACAGTGTTCAGGTTATAAGGCCACCCCTAACCACCCAATTTTTTAGTCATTTGGGGCAGTAGACAGGGAGCCAAAATTAGTAGTATTCTGATTGTTTTCACATTTATCTGTATGATTTAGCTTACTTCAACATTCATGACTTCTATGTCTTTTTTTTTTAATTGCAATTTCAGCAGAATAATTTTTTTTTACATTTGCTTGTTTTATTGCCTTTCCTATTGCAACTAAAACAAGTAATGTGATTGGAATTCTTCTTGTTCCTGGAAATCAATGCTTTACCCAATTAATTTTTGGGTGCTTTTTGTTGGAACATTGTTCTAATATAGTCTGATTTTGTTTTTATACCATTACTTTCTAATCCCATCATGGGCTCAAAATCCTCTGTAAGGTCGTTGAGCATTAGCACTCCTATAAATTCACTATTTAAACCAGCATCAACAGCAATAAGTTTTTTAAAATTTATTAAATAAATATTTAATGTTTATGTTCTTCCATGATGCTGAGCTTCACTAACTGAATCCAAAACAATCTTTACACTAAAGTTAATCTTCTGGTTGTAAGTATGCTTTAGCTTCTGCCATACTTCCTTGTTCGATTTTCATAATGGTACAATGATTTATCAGTCATTAGGCAAATTTTAGATTTTGCTTTAAAATGCTTTTTCCTATCATCTTCCATTCTGATAACCACTTTCCATAAATCCTCAGCCGTTAAAAGCATTGCCATACTGAATTTTCATATATTGTAGTTCTCTTATATAGTATTATATATAGTCTAGTCAACCATTTGATTCCTGACCAGCTTAGTGAATTTTCCATTTTTGTTTCTTCAGAACAAATGAAAAACTCACGGTAAATATACTTTAGGGAGTAAAAAGAAGTTTGCGACCAATACTTGTTTCACCTAACTTGGTAATGCACCATTTTGGAAAAATGTCGACTTTACTACTTAAACTAACTCTGACTCTACACAATACCTGGGCATATAATTTTGGTGGTGATTTTCTATTCTATGTTCTATAGTTATTCTCTATATATTTTTAATGTTTTATCTGGAGACCATTAGTCCTTTTGAAAAAAAATGTGTTTTTCCAATACCTAAACAATGCTAGTGGTCTACAATTTTAAAGGGGGTTTTCTAATTTACTTAAACAAGTTTTACTATTTAAAAAATTAAAGTAATAAGTATGACTAATGATATTTTTTATATTTTTTTAGGGAACTACTCATTATATATGCAAATGGATCTCTTGATTGCTATATCATTGCCTCATTGGATAAAAGCATTTTCAGTCATCATTCTATATTGCTAGAAAGTGGTATTTCAAGTAGTGCTTTCAGCCAAGAACATGGAATTTTGTTTTTGTCCACTAAACCTTTGAATGTCCTTTCTTTTGAGGTTAGTGAAATATTGCATTGGTTTAAAACATTAAACAATCTTTGAACTTTGAAGTTTTTTTTTTCTAATTTAGATATAGGCTAGTTAATGATTCTGTTAATTCTATTCTATTCTATTACAAAAATACTGTACAATACTATGAAATTCTAGAAATGAAATTACAAGAAAAGGTATTAAGAAACAACTCCAATTGCTTAAAATCTTGTGGCATAAGAATTTCAAATATTGTTTTCATGTTTTCCTATCTAGTTTTTATATAGTTCTTTGAAACTATTGACCCCAGGTATTTTACTGATTCTTCCATAAATTTACAAATTCTATAGTTTCATTGAATCTGCAAGATTACATCTTTCTTAAAACTAATCAAGACCTATAATGTTCTTCTTTGAACCTCTTCTAAAGTTTCCTAGTGTTCCTCATCATTTTTATTGGGTTGTCCAGAAAAGAATGTTGGACTTTGAGTTTTCTTTAAAATACTCCTCTGTATAACAAAGTGTTTACATTTATTGGATTATTCATTTGTATGAATGTCAACACTTATTAATCCTCTTCCAAAGGATAATGTTTGTTTATCTCTGTAGCATTTAGCTGCTTGGAAATAATTCAGTCTTTACTAAGATGTCCAAGCATGATTTTCGTATAATTTTGTTTTACGAGTTTAAATTCGGCCGGAATGAAGCCCAGATGGCCAGAAACATCAATAAAGTCTGAAGCGAGAGCAGAGGTTCTCCTTGTTTCTACAAGAGATCATAATGGAAAATAGTTGTAATGGAGGAACCAAAGGAATATGAGCGCACCCAGCCACGGGCCAGCTTGTTCTGAAAGATTACAACAAGTCTTCCATACGTAACATGAGCTTAATATAATATGGGCTCCGACAATATTATGTACATATACATATGCGGTTTTCATAAATGCTATCATTGGTATTATTTAATATTTAATTTTATAGATTACGGTTATATAAAAATTAAAATTTGTACATGTTCCAGTACTTAAACAAATTAAAATACTCACTATGAAATATAAATAAATATAACTGGTTTCTTTATCACTAACATTTTTTTTCTTTCTTGTCGGACTAAAAATGTTTCATGACACTTAATTATTTATTATAATCAAATAAATAATTGAAATATTCAGTCATAAAAGGAAATGGCTTGTGTCAAAGAAAATAAATATAATACATTAGATGACTATGAAAAACATAAGATAATTAATTGTGTTAATAATGTTTCTTACTGTCTATCATTTTTACTTAGTTTCACTACCATTTGAATTAAAATACTTATTTCTGATAAGAGGGTGGTAAGTAAAAGTTGTGTGATGTGTGCACCGTACCGCAATAGATTTTTTCCTATTATTATAACATTGTCTCTTGGTTGTCAAGAATCATCCAACCTCAAATAAAAATAGAAATATTCTGTTGATAATTACCCAGGGAAAGGACTATCTCAAAAAGAACCCTATTGTAGTGGTAAATTCCAAATGGTATGACTAACAACTGTCCATATTCCTTATCAATGTTTACAGCCAAATAAACTTATTTGAGGTCCAATATTGAATATTTTTTACCTCTGCTAATCTTTTAATTACCCTCTACAATCGTCTCTCTCAACATCTGGCATGTGCCGATGATGTTGCCATTACCTCTAGAACCCAAGCACCATTATCAGAAACTTTCCAGGAATTCGAAGAGGCAGCGGCTAAACTGGGCCTTAGTCTTAATGGAAATAAGATGGTGTGCATGAAAAGTTCAAAAATATAAAAGGAAGTGAATATGGAAATAGCTTTAAGGGATCACAACTTTAGGTCTGTTGACCAGTTCAAATACCTCGGAAGCCTGGTCATATGAAACAACATAATAGAGAGTGAAATAAAGGCCTGGATAGCAGCAGGAAATACATGCTATTTCTCACTCCAAAGAGACTTGAAATTTAGATCACTCTCTAAAAGAATCAAAATCCTCATCTACTAAACCATATTAATGCCAGTGGTTATGTATGGGTGTGAGACTTGGATCTTAACCAAAAAATCAGAACGCATGCTCAACTCCTGAGACAGAAAAGTATTGAGAAGAATATGGGGCGGAATATCTGAGAATGGAATTTAGAGATGAAAAAAGAATGAGAAAGGGGAACTTTATGCGGATTCTGATATTGTGGCATTGATAAAAAGAGCCAGGATAGGATGGTTAGCTCATGTGGAAAGAATGCTTAAGAGGATGCTGTATGAGAAGCCGGATGGCAAAAGAAGTAAAGCACGCCCTTGGATCAGATGGCTGGAGGATGTAGAGGACAATCTGAGGCGGCTGGGCTTTCGAAGATGGAGGGGAGTAGCAGAAGACCGTGAAGACTGGTTGGCTGTAGTGGAGGAGGCTCAGGTTGTAGGACCTTAGCGCCATCATAATAATCATTTAAAGTTCATCTTGAGAAGTTAATAGATAATTTAGTATTTCAGAAGCCTGATTTAATCTATTTGACAAACATTTTTAATTTGGCAGCCGAACCACATAAACAGCAGCCCAACCCTATAGGTTTCTGAATTCACATTCAACTTCTAGCTCAACCTTGACTTGTCAATGATCTTTTTTATAACTTAATAGTATCTAAAATACCTTAATATCTCCCTTATCGGAATGGAATTTCTCTTAGTGAACATCTATATGTGACAGCTTCTTCAATTTCCTTTAGCCCATCAAAATCATATCCTTACCAGTGTTCTATGTTGGGATTCTCACAAAAACACAATTTAACACTTTAATTGTTGTAATTGTAAATAAACGGCTACAAAAAATATAATACAGTTTATCAAAACCTAAAGTAATTTTCCTCGTTCTTCCTATCATATGAGAGATCGATCTAATTGATCCATTATATGTTACCATCAAAGAATGAAAAAAAAGAAAAGATATGCATATATATTAATTTCCTCAAATCTGTCATCTTTGAGAGAATGAACTAATTAATTTTAAAATTAGATAGCACTCATTTAGTATTGTTTTAAAATTTATTATATTTATTACTTTTAATTTTTGAAGAACTTTCAGTCTTAAAACTTAATGATTGGAAGATCTGAAAAAATAATGAAGTTTTTTTTTAAATTTAACTTTGTTAAAACAATTTATTAATTGTTTTTACATGAAGTTATTTGTTGTTCATTTATTACAATTGAAATATATAGGGCTAATCATTTAGTAATATAGAGCTTTATTTTTATTCTCTTCTTTCCATTATATATTTGTTTTTGTAGAGTTCCACATTATCTGTTGGATTAACTGCCTGGAGATTGTTAAATGAAGCTCCTTACTATAAACAAATCTTTCCTACCATGGATGAACTTAGTATTTTAAAAAGACATGGAAAAATATGGAGGTTATTTACACTTTTTTCTTCTGAGGTAAGATTTTTTTTTAAGAAGTTTTAAAAATTATTAAGTGCTGGTGGTAATGGTATCAAACAGTCCGATATATTAAGCTTTATTATTACTAGGATTTGGCCATGATAGTGGAATTTATCAGACTTAAGTAATAAGGATTCACTGTATAAAATATCTTGTTTGGAATTAACTTAATAAAGGATTTATTATTTATTATTGTAGGGGAAGGAGGGATGTCAGAATTTAACCTCAATCTCTCTTCTCTAGTATTATTTGCTGATTCAAAATGAGAAACAAAAAAATATTATATACATGTATTGGAGAGTCCAATCAAACTATGTATAATTTAACCACTTGTTGATTTATTATTACACACTTAAAAAAGAAACAAAAAATATTTGAGTATTATCAATAAAAAAAAAATATTATTTCCTTCTTATTACAAAAGTCAAAGATTAAAAAAAAAAAAGCATTAAATTATATTAAATAAATATCTTGAAAATGTCAATCAAAGAAAAAAAAATATCTTAAAAAAAATTACAAATTAAAATTTCAATATATATTACCTATGTACATTTTAAGTTCACCTTAAAATTTAAACTTGTATGTGAAAGAAAAATATATTTAAATAAAATGAACTTAAAATCTTCACTAATATGATTATTTTTCAATTCTTTATTGAGAATTATTACAATCCGTCACATCTAAGGACAATTCTTCTATGTAAAATAAATAAAAATAATTAAACAGCAAAATAATAATTCTAAAAGTAAATGTATAGAAACAAAAAGAAACTTATTGAATATTGAATAGTTGACCGTTGCATTATAAAGGAAGGAGATGGTCCGTGTTGCCGGTCATAAATAGGCTAAATAGTGGCAAAACTATTTTATTAAAAGCCAACGTTTTGACCCGACTTTGCAGGTCTTCTTCAGGGCTTGAACGGACAAGATATAAAAATATATAGAGAATTGTGGAAGTTATATAATATTTAGACAAAAAATTATAAACAATGTTAATAAGCTTATTAAAATTATAAACAGTAATACATTAAAATATGAACAGAGTAAGTTAAGTAACAAGATTCTAAACTGAAGTAAATAGATGGTAACAATTGTTGTAGTGTAATATATAATATATGCAAATGTGAATATACTTCTACAGATCTACAGGAGAGATTGAAAGAAAAGAAAAAAGGATATAATATGAAATAATAGAAAAAAAGGAATGTGGAGAAAGAAAAGAAAAAAGAAAACTAAAAAATAAATAAATAAGTAAATAAAATTAGAAGAATAAAAATAGAGACTTACAGGTGTGTTCAGCTGAGAGTTTCACTTAGGACTGGAAAATCAGGGTAAGGATAGGTATTGGGGAATTTGCTGACCTGTTTTGGGTCAATAGGAAAAAACCTAGAAAATTACAGTATCTAAAATTTGAAGATATGGATGGATACAAGGGAAAAATACTATATCTATAAAATAAAAAAATATAAATATATACATATACATATAAAATAGAATTAAGAGATTATAGATAAGAGTACAATGTGAATAAAAACAAAAATGGAAGAAGTAAAACATACATAGAAGTAAAATATAAATATAGAAATAAGAGAACATACATTGCAGAACTAATTTAGAAGTACAGAGAGAAAAAAAAATATGAATGATTATAATTATATTTGGTTGTACATGTGTAAGAGAATTACATTTAAATATTAGATAATAATAAGACATGGTTAAAAAGTAAAATGAATACAAAGTGAAAACGGATGATCATACATTAATGTAGAATGTAAATATAAAATAAAAGAGAGATCATACAAAGCGGAAATACTTAAAATAATGAACAATCAAATTGAATTAGTCAATAAAAATTGAAAGTAGATAAAAATAATATGATGTAATATATAAGTTATTTTTCACTTATAAGATTTAAAATTTGTCTATATGTTAAAGAAATGCAGTTTATGATTAACAGGATTCTGTTCCATGTGAATGTGGATGGATTCGTAAATGTGTCTTTTTTCACGGTTGGGGACCATGGCAAGAATAGAAGTTTTTTCAAAATCAAATGAATGGTTGATGGTTAAGGCATGTTCCGATAGTTTGGAGGCTGAAGGGTTCCGGGAAGTTATGGATGTTTTATGTTGGGAAATGCGGGTTTTGAGATTTTTCAGCAATATAGGAGCTATTACAATTAGAGGTAGAGCAAGGTATCCGGTAAACTACATTAGGTCGGTGTTGTAAAAGTATGGGATCCTTCAAGTTGGTGAAAAGGAAAGAAAGTTTGTTATGGGACTTAAGGCTAAGACATAAGTTGGTTATAGTTGATTTAAGGAATTTTTGTATATTATCTGAGAGAATAGAAATATAGGGAAGAGATTTGTATATGAAAGGAGTGGTAGGTGATTGTGGGGAGTTGAGAGAAGTGGGGGTTGTACTTTTTTTGGTGGTATAGCAGTTTAAAAATTTAAGTATGGTGATGAGAGGGAAATTATTGGAAAGGAGTATATTTTTGACACGCTGATTGTTGGCTTGGTGATATTGTGGATCAGATAAAGAGAGAGATCGGTGAGTAAGGTTTTTGGCGGTATTGATTTTTTGGTGATTGGTAGAAACATAGCCATCTGTGTTTTTTATTATTAGGAGGTCTAAAAAGGGGAGTGAATTGTTAACTTCTTTCTCTATAGTGAAACGAAGATGGGGGTGGTAAGAGTTGTATGAGGAAATAATTCGCTGTCAGAGTTAAGAACAACATATTTTTTTATTAAAATGATGTCTTGTTGAAAAGAAGGGATAACAGAGTCTAGGAGGTCATTAAGAACAATGTTGAAAATATCTGGTGCTAAAGAATTTCCCATGGCTAGATCTGATATCTGATTAAAGAATTTTCCTTGGAAGATGAGGTATCCGGATATGCAACAAAGCTCAAGGGATTCATTGTATGAGGAGAGGGTGGTGTGAGGTTCAAAGATTGTTCAGTTTTTCTGTACAATGTGGAGGGCTTTGTTTATTGGGATGTTGGCAAAGTTGCATAAGTTGTTTGGTCTGAAAGTAGTTGATGCATTTTATGTGAGTATTCGGTCTTGTCCATAATAACGGTCGAATTTCTCTTGTCAGCCTTAGTAATAATGAGGTGGTTGTTTGTTTTGAGAAAGGAGCGAGTTGAGGATAAATCTTTAAAAAACAGGGGGGATAAAGGGGACAAACAGGATGGAGGGTGTTGAAGGTGGTTGGAAATCATATTAATAAGTAATATAATAACTAATAATAAATCATTATTCTTCTTACTAGTCAAGGTGGTTATTTGATTTAATAATGACATACACTTAATTAATATCATAAATAGGAGTACTTTAGGGCTTTTTGTTAATGATTCTCACTGTATATCAACTAATTGCCAAATAACTTCAAACATTCTTGAACATTAATTACTAGTGTCCTCTAAAGCTAGTGTAAATCGACACCAACACGAAAGCAAACATGAACATAAGCGCTACTGCAACTACCAATATTAGTGTGCCTCGTAGATTTTGTCTGTTCCTATAATACATTCCTATTATACTAAACATGTAATCCTTCTCCTTTTTTTTTTATATCATGTTTATTAATACAATTTACAAAAATAGTAATATCTATGACAAAATACAATTGATCAAGGCTAAATCTGCACTACATTTTCTATTACCTTTGTGACAGATAATATCTCTGCATAATATCATTTAGATTTCCTGATTCCTAGTTACAGGAAATGCCTATTATAGTTAGCTATATATTTAATTAAATCTATACTTTTCCATTAGATTACTCTATTACCTACCATAAAACTTTGTTATTTAACTATTTTTAATTTTTATTTTAGGATTGTATAAACAAACTTGCCCTTTCTCCAAGAAATGAATATCTTGCCACTCTCCATACAAATGGAACAGTTAGAATCTGGCTATCACCTATTTTAAGGTATTTTAAAGATAATTTTTATTCAATAAAAAAAAAATAGTTCTTAAAAACTATTGAAAAAATGGTACTTGTGAATGACGTGGTCTGTGGTAAACCTCCCTTCTTATCTTATCTTACTTCACCTTCTTATCTTATGTTACGTCACATAACCTGCCTTTTTTTCTAGTGTAATCTGTTGCGTGTGCGTTTATTTATTGAACTTTGTTAATTGTGTGTTATTGAAATGGATGTTGTTACATTGTGGGAATTGCCGTCTTCAGAAGAAAAGGCTATCAAATATTTTCAAGACACCGGGATAATTATGGGATCTGTTCTATTACACAATACTAAAAACCAACAATGAAACAATTAGTGGTGATATCCAATTCACATTTAAGTATCCTCTCCTTCAGAATCACATTGATCCATCTAGAAACTTAAAATCCGACTCCTTTCCTTTGTACGGTTTTTGCCATAATATAAGAGGTGCAGTCAAAAGCACATTCTATATCACCATAAGGTGATTTCTTTTTGAGCTAAAGTTTTCTCAATCATGGAAAGCAGGCGATGCAATGCTGTCTTACAGAATGTGCTAGCCTGATAAGGCAATCTTTCTGCTAGCAGGATATCTCTCTCTCTCTCTCTCTCTCTCTATATATATATATATATATATATATATATATATATATATATATATAAATTATCTTTTCCAAGACTATCATCAAAAATGGTGTCAAGCATATAGGTCTATAGCCCTTGTTATTGTTAACTTCTATTAATGCACTTTTAAAGCATGTTTTTGACTTCAGAATCTATTATGCAGCTCTTAGATCCATAATGAAATACTAGAAACAATAATTATTTAATTTCTTATGAATCATAAATTAAATTGTTTTAAATAAACCATCAGTAAGATGAGGACTCCCCATTGTCATCTTAATCAATAGTTGTCCAACACTCTTTATTAGACGTTGATCTGGATTTCCAGCCAAATGGTGGTCTTCAAGGCAGTCAGTTATCTTGTTCCGTGTTTGTACACTTGAGCTTTGAGGTAACCCCAAAGGAAAATATTACATGGAGTTAAGTCTGGAGATCGAGCAGGCCATTGAACATCACCCCTTATATGAAATAATCTGGCCTGGAAATATCTGTCGATCTCTGGGTTGTGTGTAGGTGTCTCGTCCACTCTTTTCACTATTACATTACAACTTAATGTAAAATCTAGTAATTCATAGCATAAGTGAACATAAATACATTTTTTATATCATGCTTAGTTTTTTATTAATAAAAAACAAACCTGAAATGGTAAAAGAAGTTTTACCTCACCCTGTATTTCTTAATTTTTTTATTATAATATGAGGTTAGTTTTAAAGGACCAAGCCTTGGGATTTTTTTTTTTTTTTTTTTTTTTTCTATGCCATAGTCATTGGTCATTCGACCATCCGACATCTTGCTGCCCAATATAAATTTGATTTTTTTATATAATCATTTACATCTGTTTGATTCTTAATATCCGTCAAAGCAGGACATTTGTTTAGGTGATCTGCATCCATTTCCGCTTGTTCACATAATTTACACCTAGGATCCTCAGCCACGCCTATCTTGGGCTTTACTGTGAAATCAAATCCTTTATCTCAAATAAAAAAAATTGTTGTTTATGGAGTAATTGGTACTTCTTCACTAGCAGGCTGGGACTGACTGCTATCTGCCAATGTTTATAACCTGAACACTGATAATTCCGATAAGGCAGTGATAAGCCTTCTCTTAATTCCTATCTTCGTATTATTGTATTATATTCGTATTATTGAACAGAAACAAAAACAAATGTAATAACAAAAAAAAAAAAACTTTTATTTTATGACACATATATTAATGAAATAATAAAAAAACAATTAAAGAAGATATGTACATATAAAAGATCAAAATGAAATAATAAAAAAACACTTAAAGAACATATGTACATATAAAAGATGAAAATGAAATAATAAAAAAAAAAAAACTTAAAGAACATATTTAGATGTAAAAGATGAAATGAAATAATAAAAAAGAACATATGTACATATAAAACACAAATGGCCTCGTATTATTAACGTGATGGCCAGAGTGTTATTATTTTTGTTACTTAACCAAGAGAGGTATGCTTCTTTTTTCTGTTTTATTAATTCCAAAAGGTTATTAGTCATCCATTTGTTACTCTGTCTATGCCTATCTTTTTTGGGTCCTAATACTTCCGCATCGATCTTCCGCAGTATTCCTTGTAGGTATTCATAGATCTGTGTAGAATTCCCCTAAATGTTTCATCTAAGCTTTCATCTAATCTTCTTTGGCACATTCCTCTTGTACTGTCATTCTACAGTAGCTGAATTTCTATTGGTTCATTCACTATCTTTTCCTCTGGACTGTTTATCTTTAAGACATTTATCTTTTTCTAAGGACAGCCTATTTTTGCTTCAAGGAAGTAGTGATCGGTTCCACATTCTATTTCTCTATAGGTTCTTGCCATCGAGGTGCTCTGCTGTTATATATGCTGTTATATATTGTTGTACATTTTCCCAACATCGGAATATCCATAAATATACATGGCACCCACCAACAAAGAATCTATACTCTACTCCATAATCTATTATGGAGTACAATACAGATTCTTTGTTGGTTGGTGCCATGTATATTTATGGATATTCCGAGGTTGGAAAATGTGTTTTTTATTTTTAGATCAAAGTTTTGACATATTTGGTTGAATCTTTCCCCCTTATCATTGATAACGTCCTCTCCGAAATTCCAATAACTTTACTATTGTTATCCTTTCCAACTCGACCGTTTACATCACCCATGAATACTATTTCCTTCCTCTTGGGAATCTTCTCAATAATATACTCAAGTTCTTCCCAGAATATGTCCTTCTCGCCATCAGAGCTGCAATCAGTTGGGGTATATGTTCCTAATATACATATTTCCCTTCCGTATATTGTCAAGTCCAAAGGAAGAATGCGTTCATTTACGAAGTCCCAATTAGTAACATATTTCCTAAGCCGTTTCTTAACCAGTATGCCGACACCTGCCTTCACTCTTTTCCCCTTCTCTACCTCACTCCAAATATGTATGTGATTTCCAACATTCTCATACCCAGTTCCTTTTTTTTTTGTTTCGGGCAGAACGACAACATCTGCTTTACGTTTTTCTAATTCTTCCATTGTTATATCCTTCTTACTGGACATTCTCTGAACGTTCCAACATCGAAAATTTAAAATCCATTTCTGATTCTGTAGTCTTTGCTGTTTAATCAATCCAGTTATCCAAAGCTGTTTATTCGATTTTTTAACACGTTATTTCCCTGACTGGGGAGCTGGCCTTGCGCAGGCATCCCCAACTTGGGGAGTGGTACCTTTCTTAGTCTGATCACTCACCTAAGACCTGTCTGACATGGGTGGCTCTATTGGCATAGCTCTCAGAGTCCTCATGATACTCAAGCCTCCCCACCATGTCAAGGTGGAAGTACCCTTGGGGAGGCCATTTTAATAATGAAAACACAAATTTTAAAATTATGAAACCTTAGCTCGTCCACAATTGGCCGAAAAGAAACTCATGTGGCACAATTTATAAGTTGAAATTATTTTTTTTTCCTTAGCCTTCGATATTTCTTATAAAAGCTTTACAAATACATACAATAGCATCTTGTAATGTATGTAGGTAGTTGTAAATAATGCCGGAGGATGAGATAAAAGAACATTAGTTTTAAAATTGATGTCACATGAGTTTTCCCTTTGGACTGCCTACTGAACTGAAATCATGGTTAGTAAGAGTTCACAAATCGGATCTATACCAACGATTTAAAAATTTGCTAGAAGAATGAATCAATGATAAATCATAATTAGTTATATACAGAGTGTCTCTTAAGTAGAGGGAAATATTTAAAAAGTTAATAATTGACATCAAGATCAACAAAAAAGTTCATATAAACAATTGCCCAATTTCCAGTAGAAATGTAAGAAATCTAAGATTTGTTTTTTTTAAGCGAGTCAAGTTTTTTGTTGAAGAGGGAGCTATAACAAATAAATATTTGATTTAAGTAATTGAACATTGCTCCAAAGAAAAATAGACAAAATTTTCTTTAAACGAAAGTAGAGTTTGTCATTGTTAAAACTGTTTAAAGAGGACTATTGTGTGGACAAACTCAGCTAAGTTTCATTTTAAAAAGGTCATAAATTGTTTGTGATTTTTTTTTTTATCATCCTTTAACTGTACAACAATTACTCCACTTTTAGAAAAACTTACTTGTTTAATAAGCTTTAAGTCCATGTTAATTAATTTAAAGTTTATTAAGAAAAATTTTGAGATCCACCTCAAGTTGTGTAAAGAAATGATGTGATTTTCTATCCTCTCACTTAAAAGTACTCTTGTTTTTAGCAAACATGACTACAATTATTTGTTACAAAGATTTTATTTCTTAATGTTTCATACTAAAATTTACTTTTAAAATAAAGAAACCTTCTGATTACTTCAATTATTTTCAGGAAAACGTAAAGATTAGGGCCAAAAAACATTAAATTTGTCACTTTAAAATATGCATCAATTCCTATGACAGAAATCTGGGAGAAAATCACTATTTCATAATCAACTTAAATGAAAAATCATTATTTTTAATTTTTTTTATTTTTATAAATAAACTATGTTTTTAGGCAATTATATTTTTTACAATACATCCCATATCATGGAGAAACAAAAAAACGCTTTGCTACAGATAGTCTTTTTTGCTGAAAACATGGGTACTTTTATGTGACTGGATAGAAAATCACATAATTTCTTTCCACATAATTAATATGGACTTAAAGCTTATTAAAGGAGGAAGTTGTTCTAAAAGTGGAATAATTGTAGGTAGTACAGTTGAAGGATGACAAAAAAAATTCACAAATAATTTATGACCTTTTTTAAACGGAACTTAGCTGAGTTTGTCCACTCAATAGTCCTCTTTAAACAGTTTTAACAATGACAAACTCTACTTTCGTTTAAAAAAAATTTTGTCTATTTTACTTTGGAGCAATGTTTAATTACTTAAATCAAATATTTATTTGTTATAGCTTCCTATTCAAAAAAAAACTTGACTCGCTTAAAAAAAACAAATCTTAGATTTCCTACATTTCTACTGGAAATTGGGCAATGGTTTATATGAACTTTTTTTGTAGATCTTGATCTTTGCTATCAATATTTTAAATATCAACCTTTTAAATATATACACCCTCTACTTACAGGACATCCTGTATATATACAATCTGTTTTCTGCCCTATTCAACAATCCTCTTTCTTGATTGTTATTTCTAGTTTTGTTATTTAGTTCTTAAGTAGTTCCAGATATCACATTATATTCTTGATAACAATAAATTTATTAAAAATTTTCTTATCCATCCTGGCCTTTATTCAGTTTTTCCTCCCTCCCTTAACTCCCAATATGAAAGCTGCATACACCTTTGTCTTAAGGATCTGCACTGTAATCATTATTTAGAATTTAAGTTTATCTGTATTTATTGTTTAAAATTAATACTTTTTTTTTCATAAATAATATTTTTCCAGATTTTATTCTAAAATAGACAAGCTTGATACTAATAAACAAAAAGTTATGGTTGTACTCAGTGAAGCGAATATTAGTAGTCATGCAATTGATATTGATTGGAGGAGGGACAATGTAAGTCCTTTGTATATTTTTAAATATAATTGTAGTTTCTTGTAATTAACTATAAGTCTTGTGTTATATTAAATAAAATATAAAGTCATCTGTATTATATTGAATATAATATAATCCTGTTACTTTATATTTTATCTGTGTGGCAATTTAACATTGATTTCAAAGTTGGGATTGGATTAATAAGTGAATTAACAGAATAATACATTAGAAGTTTAATTTATTAGGCTTAATACTTATTTATTAATTTTAATAAAATAAGTGTTTTTTTAATATTATGATTAAAATAAATAAAATCTTATGTTATAAATGGAAAAATCCAAATAACATATTGTCAGTTTATTGCAAAAAGTCATTAGGTGACATTTCATAACCTCAAATAGTTAAGAACTTTGATGAATTTTATGTTTGTCAAATATGAAAATTGTTACAGTTGAAAAAAGTTACATTTGTAACTGTATATGATAAATAAAAGGGTGTGCCATTTTCATGCATTTACAGTGGTTTTGTATCGATAAATAAGGTTGAAATTCACAAAAATATAGAGAGAGAAATACTTTATTAAAAGTAATGCTGCCCTACTACATAGGGTTGCTTCATACACAGCATACCTATCAATCCACAAAGACATTAATTTTATATTTCATTTTTCTATTTTTTATACATATATATGTCATATCTTTCATTTCTTTCTCTCTTTTTCCTCTTCCCCCTCATAACAATACACTTACAAGTTATCAACAATAAAACCATATTAAATAATATACATAGCACTATAAACATTTTTCAAGACAAAAAAAAAAAAAAAAATATTTCCCTGTTTCTCTCTTTAAATTTTCAAATGCCAGGAACTCATTACAACATCGCACACATACATAACACAGCGATTCCCAGAATGTAGACAAAAAGACAGGACGACAGCGGATCAATTCAAAATTTAATAAACAATTATTACCAGATGTCCTTAATTGGTATAAATATGATAGTGGATGATCCCCAGGGAGTCCAAAATAATATTTTCGGCCAATACCGCGAGCTCCCCAACATCAACCTAGTTCCTCGAGAAAGCTCCTTGTTCTTTCCGGGATCGTTCCGCGAGACCCAAACCAGAGGCCTCAACGTTGATCTTCTGCTCCGGCTTAAGAAGGCAAGAGCTAACCAATTTGTCTAAGTTGTTGTTTAATTTGGTCACCATTTCCTCATTTAATACCAGCTCTCCCGAGAACGCACATCCTAAATACTTTATAGTTTCACCTGGCTTTGTTGATGCTATAACTTCTCCGTTCTCTAGGGAGAGCTTTGTTTGTTGCAGCTCTCCTTTCTCGACTATCAAGCCCACGCTTTTCTGCGGATTTATTGCTAGACCAATCTCGGCAAGGATCCTCTGCACACCATTGACAATCCTCTCTGCAGCACCCTTGTCACACGCTGTAACAGCCTGGTCATCCGCGAAGCCTGTGAGGACCACACATTCTTGGTCGCTGCTTAATTTATATCCATAGCAGTTGGCAAATTCTTGCTCACACAGGTCGCGGTATAGATGATCTATAGCCAGGTTGAACAGCGAGGGCGACAAGGGTCTGCCTTGGGGTACTCCTCGCCGCACCTTGATCCAACTAGTCGAGTGGGCTCTGATTCCAATCTTGATTTGGTTTGACCCTAGGAGAGCCCCAATTACGTTCTTCAGATCCGGTGACACTCCTCTTGCCTCTAGTGAGCCGATTATATGTTCGTGACCAACGTTGTCGAAAGCGCCAACAACATCCAAAAACACCACTGCAATCATTCTTTTTATTCTTGGCGTCTTTTATGATTGCGTCGATAATTCTGGTGTTTACGTGTGCTCCCGGTAGGACTCTGATGAAGCCTCTCTGATTTTTGCTGAAGGTGATCTGTTTTCTCAGTTCATGGTCCAGAACCTTCTCAATAATTCGGCACACAATTGAATAGATGGTAATGGCTCGCCATGATGATATGCTGTTGCCATTTCCTTTACCCTTGTATAACAAGATTGTGTGCCCCTGACGTAAAGGCTCTGGTACGTATGCCACCCTCAGCATGATCTCCGCAATGGTCTTTATGATATATGAAACATCAAAGAATTTAATCGTGCGGACCAAAACTCCGTCCGGCCCCGGTGATGTGTCCAATGACGTAGATTTGATCGCCTTTTTTACTACTTGGACATCGATGGATGTAAGATTTGGCGTCGGGGCGCAATTCTCATAGTCCGCACGTTTGCAGAGATTTTCTTTCTCAAAGAGGCTTCTGAAGTGGCCTTCAATCTCGGCTACCTTCAGAGGGCATTGCTTAGGAGCGTCGGCGTTCATAATATTCTGCACCACTTTCTTTCTTCTATTATAATAATTATACTGGGCTACCTCATATTGATATTGTTCTTGCCGACGACTCCTATCTGCCTTGTTGGCCCTCTGTGGATTCGACACTTTTCCCGCACCCTTGCCAACCATATCAATCTTGTTTTTCCGTCTCAGCTTATAGAACTTGACGGCAGGGTGTTGTGGGCCAGGCAATTCTTCGTTGATTGTTTTTAGAAATTTTAGAAAATTGCCCACTGCCTCGTCGAATTCCATATTATCCACATTGTTTTGCCGACCAAATTTCTGGAAGGTAGCCGACCATTTTGCTATTTGATTCTTTACTCCCTCTTCCTCATCCTCTACATTTTTTGCCCTTTCTTTATAACCAATCAAGCCCCTCATTCTAGCGTCATTTGCCTCCCTGGGATGCTTCCTAGCTATATGGGTTCTGAGACCTCTATCACCCTTGAAACTCAGCCCACAAATGGGGCATACTTTGTCATTAACCTCTGAGGAAGGGTCTTATTTCCTCACTTTTATTTCCCCACTAGGCTCTCCGGATGTCTGTGCTGTTTCAGGTTCAAACTAGGAAACACTTCATCAATTGATACTGTTTTGCCCAATGTTTGGCCATCTTCACCCTGCCACTCTACTTTGATGAACTTTTTATCAGACACACGGAGGCCACTACTGCTTCCTGGGCTGTGCCTCGTGATCTCAGAACCCATACTCTCTGACCTAGATCGACCCTCTTGGAATTATTTAGACTTGCGTCCATATCCTTTTTATCTTTACAATAAAGTTATCATCCACACCATAATACATAAATAGGTTAAAATATTCTTATAAGTTAAAATAGATAAATAAATTAATTTCAAATAAATATATACACAGATAAAATATTGTTAATAGGTTAATATCAAATAATAGACTAAAAATATATACATAATTTAAATGTCAGTAAGTAAAATTAAATTATAAGATTTTAAAAAATCTTATATTTTTTTTTGAAAATATATACAAAGATAAAATTATTTTAGTTAGTTAAAATGAAATAAATAGATTTAAAATATATATACAAATAAAATTATGTCAATAAGTTAAAATTATTTAAAAATATATGCATAAGCTAAATAATATCGATTAGTTATAATTAAAATATCCATACATATATATACATATATGGATCTAAACAAAATTTCAAGAAGTTAAAATTAAATAAATTGATTAAAATTAATACACAAATTAAATGTCAGTAAGTAGAATTAAATAAAAGAATTAAAAAAAAAATTGTTTAAAAAATATACACATTGATAAAATAGTTTTAGTAAGTTAAAATAAAAATAAGGTAAATAGATTAAAAATATATATACAAATGAAATAATATCAATGTGTTAAAATTAATTAAATAGAATAAAACTGTTTAAAAATATATTCATAGGTTTAATAATGTCATTAGTTAAAATTTGATAGGTAGATCAATAATATTTCATACACATATACACATATAAATATGGATTAAAAAAAAAAAAAATGTCAAGCAGTTAAAATTACAATTAAATATAATAAATTAAATCAAATTAAATATAATAAAGAATTGCATATATGTGTGCGTCAACATGCCCTTCAAGAGATAAAAAAAAATAAAAAAAAAAAAATAAAATAAAGACATTTTCCATACCCAATTACTATCGCATATACAAACATGTGGAATAACGTTATTACAATATTTGTTATTTTCCACTGTAAAAAGAACGCAGGCTAGTGCGATGACAGACAGCAGGTTGAAGTCGTCAGATTGGTGACATCTGACAATGATCCTGGCAGCCAGCCGGTGGAGCACGGTGGTGGGGAGGTGCAGGTATATTCCTTACGGTAGATAAGGGCCAGGCCTGGGTTATGAGCAGCTTTCTTTACCCTCAATTAATTCCGAAGACACTCGACAGATTTTCTTCGAATTTCGTACCATGCTCACAATCCCTTCCATCGACATTCGTGACAATTTTGAACTCGAACGGATGAAAAAAAACACATCAGAGGAGAGTACAACATAGACCCGATGTTGCTCTGCCATAGGCTGAAGCCTGACTAATAAGTTAACTATACCAAAATCGTACTCAGTGACTTTATGCTATGCAATATACCGACAATATGTTTAAATTTGTGATTAGCTTGTAATGACAAATACATTTATTTATGCAGTACTTTTTTATTGATGATTGATGATGATGGAAAGTGAATATTATCTACATTGTTTCTTTTGCAGAAAGAAAACTGACTTGACTTTTGTTATTATTAGGAACAGGACCTTTTTATCACTTGCCTAAATTACACGATTTTGATTTATGTTGCATCGAATTGCACATTTTTGTGCTAGCTTAGATGATTTATAAATATATATGTGTTTAAATATTTATCTTTTTATTTTACTATTTTGTCCATATTGAATTTATAATTTAAGGTAGAAAAATATGAGGAAAGTGGGGAATATTCTTGGAATAGAACTTGCCTAAAATATAGGATAACAAAAGAATAAATTGTCTTCCTAGGAAAAAGCTGTATTGTTATAGAAAAGCATTTATTGTTATTACTTGAATTCTCACTCGTTCTTCATCCCTTCAGAATCCCTTCTGGCTTTGAAGTGAATTGTAGTAATTTTATTATTATAAATTCAAAACAAATTGAACAATGCTGAAAGTAGAATCTAGTCTGTCAAAAACAATTAAAACTGAATATCAAACCACCACAAGTTGAAATTTGATGGGGGAGTTGTATTTAGTGTGTCCCATAAAAAATAAATCGGGTGTGATAGGAAATCACAGGTAGACACTCATTGTATAGCAGGTAAGAAAAAATATTTCTATTGAAAAATTTAACATTTTTTCAAAACACAAGGTTTGATCGGATTTCTATATATCAATATAATTAATTATACAAAATAGATGATTTTTGCGCATTTTAGGTGTTAATGACACAAGTTTACATGTTGTGGGTTTATACTGCTAAATTTTGCACATTTTGAGTTTTTTGCTGCATATTTTTTGGATTTTTACAGCATGAAGATCCAGTCTGTAGTTATTATAATAGATTTAATAGTTTAATTTTTAATGATTACCTTAGTTATTTGGTTTTAATTATTGAATGATTTTATTTTTGCTATTACTATACATGAGCACTTAGAAATGTCCCTGCCAAAAGTTTGATATGAATGTTTGTTCAATCGTAAATTGTCTTTTAACAGATTGACTGGCCAACTCTGATTAATGTCAGTTTATTCAAGTCCTATATTTTTGCAGGTATGATGAAATTCATAGATCATGAAGTCAGAATTCATGTGTTTATTAAAAGTAGTGTTTTTAATAATATAATATATTGTACATAGGTTTGAATGTGATTTATTTACTTTACTTTAATCTAGCTTTTATCTATTATTTCATTATTTTTTTGTACACAGGCATACCAATTTACTTACTTCATTTTTTTTTATATTTCTTTTTCTTTATTATTGATATTAATTGTAAGTACATATTGTGTGAATGAATCATGTAGCCTTAATATTAATGCCCTTCAATGTGGCAGAATGTATTAATATTCAATAAAGAAAGTTAAAAAAAAAGAAAGTAATATAATATGATTAAATTAAGTAAGATTTTTAGACTGAAATCCCGAAAAGTACTGGCAATCAATGTGTTATATTATTCTGAACCATAATGATACTTTAGAATATAGTTTATGAAATATAGATTATTTAGGATATAGATTATTTATAAATATTTATGTTAAGTTTAGATACTTTTAATTTTAATTATTTTCTAGTCTTTATTTAATTTTTATGCCAATATTCATAATTTAAAAAGAGTTATTCTAATTTTTAAGATCAGAAGGTGTTAATTAAACTACCATATAATTGATGAAATTATAAATAATGTTTTATGTTAACACTTAATCTGTCTAAAAATTGTATTAATGCTTCTTTCCCAGTTCGAAGGAATATATTCATAAAAATTAAAAAATAAAAGATATTAGGTTACTTGTCAACTTATATAATTCTAGGTCTCTTTAATTTTTAATTTTTTTTTTCTGCAGAAATTGATTGTAGGTTGGAAAAATGGTACTATATCTATTCATGATGTAAATTCTTCTGTTGTATTGACTTATTTTGGACATGAAATTCTAAATGGATTACCAAGATTAACTTCAGCACCATCTTTACATGGCTTCCTTGTTTTGGAATGCGAGGCCGTTCAATCTGAGAGGCCATCAGTTTCTCCAGTAAGTAAAATTTATTTAACACTTTTAATTATCTTTTTAGCACACTATATTTTCTTTGGTATATATACAGTAGTGATTTTTATCTCTGCCAGACTCTGGCCAGAAAATGAGTACTGTGACGTGTGTAGCCCCCACCACTACATCTGTTATTGCAGTATACATTATATATATATATATATATATATATATATATATATATATATATATATATATATATATATATATATATATAATTATAATTATAATAATTTTATTGATCAAAAGTAGAAAACTTTATAGCAAGGAGTTGACTAAATTAACAATTTAAACTTCTTAAATTAACATTTTAAACTTCTGTTGAAGATGTATCCCCATAACGATAAAATACTGAAAAGATATACATATCTGTACAATTATGTTTTCAGCCCGAATACCAGTACAATAAATAACAGAATAAAACATAATAATACAACAAAATAAAATAAATATAAGGAAGGAGATGGTGCGGGGTGGCAGTCATAAATAGACTAAATAGTGGCAAAACTATTTTATTTAAAGGCAACGTTTCGACCCAACTTTGCAGGTCTTCAGTTCTAGAACAGGCAAGATACAGAGAATTGTGGAAGTTACATAATATTTAGATAAAAAATCATAAACAATGTGAATAAAATTATAAACAGTAAGTATGTTAAAATATTAAGAACATTATGTTATATATACAGAGTAAGCCAAGTAACAAGATCCAAAACTGAAGTAAATAGATGGTACCAATTGTTGAAGAAGATCTGCAAAGTCGGGTCGAAACGTTGGATTTTAATAAAATAGTTTTGCCACTATTTAGTCTATTTATGACCGCCACCCCAGACCCATCTCCTTCCTTAATAATACAACGGTCAACTATTAAGTATTCAAAAGAAATATATGTACTAATACAATGGAAAAGAACGATATAATGAAACAAAATTTTCCTGTTTTGAAACTTCCTCCAGGTTTTTCTTCAGCCATTCCTTCTCAGCCTAATAATAAGTTTCTTAATTTAAAACAACAGAAATAGTCTATCAAAACAATAGTTTAATAAAAATTTATTATGTTTTCTACTCTTAAGGTGGCTTCCACACAATTTATGGATAGCTCTGTGGTATCTATAACTTTCCTTCTATTGCCATTGAAGATAGGGCAATTGCTAAGGAGATGGAAAGTTGTGTCTTTACCTTTTTTGCATAATGAGCAGTTCTCTTCTGGCTGAAAGTCTATGATTTTTTTGTTAAAATATATTCTTGATGCATGCCTTTCTTCCATCAGCCTTATCTGAGCTACCAATCTGATTTTAGCTATTGGCATCGTCATGTTTAAATAAGTTTCAATACCTTTATATAAGAATAAGAATAAGTTCAATATATATCTGTATATAGAGCTGAATTAGTTGTTCAGGATGAACTCTATATCATTACTTAACCAATAGTTCTGAGATTTTCAATAATTTCACTCAACTCTTTCTTTGATAGGATGTGTTGGTTTTTCACAAACTTTTCACACCCTAATATGTCTAGAGTATTTTGTAACACTGGTAGCCAGTTAAAAGGTAGTTTGCAGTGCTTGGCAGTCTTAATTGCCAGATGTTTTAGCAGCTTTGAACAGTCTTCTTGTGAGTGTCCATTGCTTTGAAAGATTGCCATTCCACTAGGAAACCTTCCTGTTGGTTATGGTTTTTTTGGCATCATTACATTAAATTCCACATCATGTTGTATTCTGTCAGATATTTCAAATCTGATATATTTATGACTCGAGCATGTTTCTTCAACAGACTAGGGCGGGATTTAGACTAGGTCGGAGCACATGCACTGCACTACATACAGTTCTAACTGAAGTGCATAGAGCGATGGATGATCAAATGGTTACCATGTTTGCATCACTCGATCTCACTAGAGCGTTCTATTATGTGGACCACAAAATGTTGTTTCAGAAATTCGGTGGCTTCAGGGTAGGTGAGCAGGTATTGGAATGGCTGAGATCATATTTGATCGGACAGACACAGCATCTGAGGGCTCAGAATGGCTGGAATATGGCTCGGGTGTCCCCCAGAGTTCTGTACTTGGACCGCTATTGTTCCTCGGTTACATTAATGATGTTGTTGAGGCTCTTAGATACAGTAAAATCCATATATTTGCTGATGATGTAGTTATCTGGGCTTCTTCATTACCAGAACAAGTTCTAGAGACTATGCAGTGGGTTAACGAAGATATAAGTGCACTTCAACTGTAGAACTATAATGGACTCAACTGGACCTTCTCTAATAGCAACTCAAGAAATGCTGTTGGATGCTGATAGGGAGCCTCAAACTTGTTGTAAAAGCTGAGAAGAATGTTTCCTTGTCCATGTTGATGATCATGGATAGTATGATACCCCGATCTAGAAAAATAAGAGTTCTTGGAGTGATAATCGGCTGCTCCTTGTCATGGCAAGATCATGCCAGCCTTGTAGTGAGCCGGATATACAGAGTTCTGCATACCCTTTCCAGGTGGAAGCGATTTTTGTCTAATGAGGTCAAAAAGAAAGTAGTCTCCGCGCTAATCCTTCCCCTGGTATGGTATTGTGACTCGGTTTACATCGACATATCGGAATCGGAAGATGCCAGAGTTCAGAGAGCACTCAATGCTGCCGATATATATTCAGTATAAAAAGGGAAGACCACACCACTCTGTACATAAATACACTAGGATGGTTGAGAACTAAGCAGTATCGGAGACTCAATTTGATGTGCCTAGCGAGAAAAATCTTGGACTCTGGTGAACCTGCAGATCTAAGGAAAGGTTTAGTAGAAGTACACAGTGAAAGATTACAGGAAGTGTTCCCTGCTAGCCTGTAGAACAGAAATTTCAAGAAATTCTTTCCATGCAGTAGCGGTGAGAGAGCTCAACTTGCTTTCGGTAGAGGTAAGATTGGAGTCCTCAAGCGATTCCTGACTGCTGACCAGTTGATTGTGCCATGAAGATTCAATGTTCTTGCAATTACTCTTCTCCAATTACCCTCCTCCTTGCACTTTTAATTTAATTTGATTTATATATTTAATTTTGTTATATTCTTTCCGGTTCTTGATTTTGTAGTATCACCTATAATCTCTATCATTTTCTTTTCTCTTTCTTTCTTTCTTCTTTTGTCATATTTCATTTTTATTTTATACTACTAACACTTATACTACTCTTAATATACAAAAAAAAAAAAAAAAATACTAACATTAAAATGAAATTATAAAAATTATTATAAATTAGGAATATTGTATATTCTATTGAAAAATGTTAATTTAATAATGTCACTTTATTCTTGTCTGTAAGAAAGGGCCCTAGGCCCTAATACAATAAAAATATCAATCAATCAATCAATCTCTGTCTGTGGTTTTGAAGCTTTCCCCTCTGGCAAGGCAGCTTTGTTTGGCGGGTCTGGTGGCCTCATCTCCCTTGGTGGCTATCCTCAGCTACCCGCCATTGAGTAGGTTCCAATGTATTGTCCGTCTGCCCTTGTTAAGCAGCCTCCTTCTCAAATAACCATGTCTCGGTAGTTAGGCTTTTTGGGGCCCTTGCTTCCTCATCTAAGTGCTCTAAAGGTGGTAGCCTCGTCACTTTGTGTGTGTTTGACACTTGTATGGCTATTGCCTTTCTCTTGTTTTGCCTCTTCATGTTCTTGCTCAACCTCGACATTGCAGGCCTCACATCCTTGGATGTGTGGTCCCCACCTATTGTCTAGTCAGGTCTAGACTGTGAGAGGCTACCTCCTAAAGTACCTAAGTCAGGTATGTCAGTCGCTTTCGTGTCTATTTGTTCTGTTGGGGCATAGGCTATAGGTGGTATAGACCATAGCACTAGCCACCTCCATAACCTCCTCCTCCTTTCACTCAATTTGGACTTGGAGTGTACCTACATCCTCCATCAGGGTCTTTAATAAGGATCCTACCAGAGATTCATCTTATGTTCGTTTGCTCCAATGTAGACAAGTCCTCTTTGGATAACGTCGAAACTAGACATATTTAATCTTTGCTGTCATTTTTTTCATATAAAACTTCTTTTTCAACTTTTGTCTCATGGTCACCCACAATGTTCTTTATACCTTGTAAATTAATGACTAATATGTGCCTTAATAAATACATTATTTTTTTAAATGGTTGATTTTCAAAAAAATTGTAGTAACTTTACAATTTTGTCCTAATATCTTTGTATGATTATTTCAAATATGGTTTATCTTCAGTGTTATAGGAGAGGACATTATTATTTTTTATTATTTTCAGGATATGAGTTCTGATGATGAAAAATCGATTTTTGATACAGCCCTCGAGTTGGTAAAATCTACAATGTATCTTCTAACAGATCTGGAAAAATATGAGCCAAAGATGAAATCAATTAAAATTATTCAACGGGTATTCCGCCTCTTAGGTGTCAAAATGACTACTCCTGAAGAGGTTTTTGAAAGATTTGTAAGTTTAAAAATTTACATAATTTAGTTGTTAACCAGTAACTGTGCAAAAATTAATAGGGATATTTCTATTTGATTCTTATTTCATTTGGTTTAATTAAAATACCATATATTTTTTTTTGTTTTTTAGGGATTCTCCTATTATTTGGTAAACATAAAAAGTAAATACCAAGTATTCTTTATTTTAATAAATTATTAACTTAAAGGTAGTCAACATGAATAATAATGAAGTATACTCATTGCATAAACCAACAGGTTGTTTTAGACTTTTCTCAAGTTTACTCCGGTAGTATTCTGTTTAATGATAGAAAGACATCATATTGAACTAGAAGTTTGCAATATTATCGCGAGAATCATAAAAAAAAATCACAAAAAAGTTGAATTTTATTATTTTTTTAAAACGCCTTTTATAAAATTTCCCAAGGTCAAATACAATATTATTTTTATTAAGTTTCCATGTATTTTATAATATAAATACTAGAAAATATAATATAGTTACATACATATCTGACAATATCCCTATTCATTTTTAAGTAGTATAGTTATATTCTGTGAAATGTTAATATATGATTTTTATTACTCTACTCTACTTTTATTACTCTATTTAATACTCTGCTTATATTATTATTGTTCCTTTCAATAGAGTGATTTAAAACATTCAACTATGTTTAATCTATTTAATCCAAGTTTAATTAATTGTCATATCACAAGGATTATTTAGTTTGCCAACTACTCTATAGATGATGGCCAGCTGAGAATAACAATAATTTTATTTTTTATTCATATTACCTTTTTCATCATCCTATACTCCAACTAGTTATTCAAGCAGTGCCTCTAAAACATTCAAACTAATGGTATTGGCATGTGGTTCTTTATAATATGATTACCATCTGAAAGCTTAGTCATGACTGTGGATCTTGAGTTACTTTAATTAGTTTCAATTAAAATTATGTTATACTTGTTAATTTATTTTTATATTGATATTTTTTTTTTTAAATAGACTTCCTGAATTAATTTTTTTTTTTTTTCTCCAGTTGCAAAGCAATGACTTTGATAGAGCATATGAAATTTGTGATGAATATGGTTTGGATGTAATGAAAGTTTATCAAAGGCAGTGGAGAACTAATGAAATTAGTGAAAAGACAATCCAGGAATATCTTGTAAGATAAATAGCTTATGATATATTTTATAATAACATAAATAATAACTTGAAAAACGAGGGCCCCAAATCCAATGTTTGGAAATTATTTGTGGCCTGGTTACTGAACATTGAAGTCAGCTCTTATAAATACAGTTCTGGTCTTCAAGCCAGACAACCCAGACTCATACTATACTCAGGTGCTGACCTGTAGAGGTATCTGTCACTTTTGGGAATTTAAAAAAAATTACAAATTACAATTGAGAAATTTAAACAAAAAGAATACATTTAAACAAATTAAAAGCATATAAGATAAATTAATTTTAGGCTATTAATATAACTGCTGAATTAGAACCAGATTAAATGGAATACAATTCAAATATAAAGTAATATACAACAGCTGAAGAAATTAGTTTTTAAGTGGAGTTTTTTTGGAACAAAATTTGAAAAGGTTTAGTAAAAATGTCACCCAATTTTCAAATATTTAGGCTTGTGCCCTCTTTCATTCAAGGGGTGATATATTTTTAAGTCTATTGAGTATGTGACGTGTTTCTAAATTATTACTGTTAAAAGTGTTTTAAAATTGGCATTTAAACATATTTTGCTTCTCTATTATTTACATGATTTCTAAGAATGTGTATTTGTTACAAATCTTTTCTTTTTAGGAATCTTTAATATTGTGTTTAAAACCAATTATCATATTCTAGAGTATATATTGATCTACTGAAGTATTCATTGATTTTTAGTATATATGTCAATTGTAGAATAGTAAATGATAGTGCGCATTTTGCTATTCATTAGGATTTGTCAGAGGGAGTTTTTCTTAATAATTTAGATAATAAAAAATATATATATATATATATATATATATATATATATATATATATATATATATATATATATATACACAGGGTTCCCCGTAAGTAAAGGGAAATATTTAAAGACCTCAAAAAGTATACAAAAAAGTTTATATAAACAATTGTCTGATTTTCCATATAAAATGGAAGCGATAACTAAAAAAGTATTTAATGAAGGCAAAAAACATTGCTTCATAGTAAACTAGATAAAATTTCATTTTAAGAAAAAAAAAAGTAGTTTTTCTTTGTTAAAACCATTAAAAGGAGACGTTTAAACGGTTAAACTATGCTAAGTTCAGTTTTTCATGAAATCATTGATTATTTGTGAATTTTTTTATCAACTTGCAACTCGACTATGAATACACCACTTATCGAAAAACTTTCTTATTTAATAAACTTCAAGTTCATATTAATTATGTTAAAGTTTGTTAAGAAATAAGTTGAGATTCACGTCTAACTTACTAACTTAATGCCACTACCGTCCTAGTTGGACTTATGTCTCACTTAGATTTAATAGCCAATCCTGCCTTTCTTCTGCCTTCCTTCCATCCTCTTACTCCCATCTGTCTCGTATCATTCTCTAGGTTATCCAACCACCTCAGCCTTGGACTTTCTGCCAGTCTCTTTCCGCTTGGCCTGCCATTCATAATCTTTTTTGGTATCCTCTCATCTGGCATCCTTTGAACATAGACCAGCCATCGCTGTCTTCCTTCTTTGATAAATGCCATAATATTAGGCTAATCAAAGAGCTATTTGAGCTCTCTGTTTTTTCTTATTTTCCAATGGCCATCCTTGTTTACTTGGCCAAATATCGTTCAGAGCATCTTTCTCTCCCAAATCTTCAGGATCGTCTCGCTCTTCTTAATCATCACCCAGCACTCGCTTCCATATGTCATTTTATATGTTCTATATGTCAGAGATTCACATCTAGTTAAGTAAAAAGATTGTGTGATTTGATGTTCAGTCACCTCAAAGTACTTCTGTTTTTTGCAAAAATAAATCATGATAATTTATTAAAAAACCTTTAATTTCTTTTTTTTTTCTATGACCTTGGATGTATTATATTAAATTAATCATAAAAATACAATTTCATTTGTAAAAAAAAAAAGGAGTTAAAGATTAATGCTTTTGCAAAATTTATCATTTTAGGTTGCAAGTACAACACCTCTTCCAAACTTACAGTCCCCATCCTGATATCCTTAATTTAACTCACCTGGAATCTATTGAGGCAGAACTGGATACTCCTCTCCAAATGTCCCTTCCACCTAAAGCATTTCATCCCACAGAAATATCCAACATCATTCACAGATTACCTTCACGCAAAGCTCCTGGACATGACCTTATCATATCTCAAATCTTAAAAATTCTTCCTCAAAAAGCCATCCTATTCCTTACTTATATATACAATGCTGTGCTCCGATCCATATATTTCCCTGAGCCTTGGAAACTATCAATTGTCAAAATGATCCACAAACCCAAAAATCCATCTAAATACCCGTCCTCTTACCGTCCTATCTCTTTTTTACCAATCATGGACAAAATCCTAGAAAAACTCATTTTAAAACGCCTGTACCCCATCCTAGATTCTAATAATATAATCTCTGATCACCAATTTGGATTCCGCACATCCCATTCCACTATCCAGGAATGTCATCGTGTGGTAGACGTAGTCTCCTCTGCACTAGAGCGCAAAATGTACTGTATGGGAGTCTTTCTTGACGTTGAACAGGCGTTTGATAGAGTCTGGCTCCCGGGAATGCTGTACAAACTCCGTAAATTCCCACCACCTACATACTCCCTCATTATCCGTTCATACCTTACTGATCAATACTTCAAAGTAAATCATAATTATGCATGTTCATCCCTCTTTTCCAAGTCTGCTGGTGTTCCTCAAGGGAGCATCCTCGGTCCTATCTTTATACAGTTCATACAGCTGATATCCCAACTCATCCCAACACGGTCATCACCACCTATGCAGATGACACTTGTATCCTATATGTTAATAATGACCCTTTAATTGTATCCCAAATCCTCCAATCACATATCAGAAACCTTGAAGAATGGTGTCATAACTGGAAAATAAAAATAAATTCCAATAAATCCCATCAAATTACCTTTACTCTTCATCATAAACCCACAACTTCTTGTCCTACAATATCCTTCAATAATATTCCACTTGTTCCTGTTGAACAAATCCGCTTCCTAGGACTCCACTTGGATAAACATCTCACTTGAAATCTGCATACTAGACTGAAACGACAAGAAACTGCTCGACATTTCCAACTGCTCCAACACTTACTAGTCAACACTGCTCTAAACTTTCAATTAATTACAAAAGGCTCATCTACTTAACCATAATAAGGCCTATACGGACACACGGAGTTGAGCTTTGGGGTTCTACTAAACCATCGAATTCCTATCGTATCCTATCCTTACAATCCAAAATCCTTTGTAAAATCCTTAATGCCCCATGTTTTGTCACAAATAAAACCATTCATAAAGACCTTAATGTTCCATATGTCGCTGATTTAGCCCGAGCCAGATACCTATCCTTTCATGATAAACTCCAGTCCCATCCGAATCCACTTGTTTCCAGCCTTGCTTCTTCCTCGATTCCTGATAATCCCCCATGGCATCTGAAAAGAAGATGGCCACATGATCTGCTCACCTAGAATTAAATAGGGAGTGCTACCACTGGGTTCAAGTCTGTTCATGTCATTATTTCCAGTGTGTGCATTTTTACTAGTTGTATTGTTTATACAGTTGTAAACTTCATTAAATAAATAAAATAAAAGTCGCAAGTCACTAGCGTGTTGTCTGTGATTTGACCGAGATCATGCTCAACCACCAGGTTTTCCCCCTTAATTAATTATTTAATTAAGGCTACCCACTTTATTTCTCTAGGTCCAAGAGATGCCCCATGGCCAATAAAACAGAATAAATAATTTTCTGCCATGAGCCGGGATTCGAACCTGAGACCTAGAGCATTGGAAGCTTAGTACCCTATCACTGAGCTGCCATACACCCCGTTATTTTCTTATGAAATTTCTATGATTGTTAATTATTATCATTTATTTATTTTTTATGGATGTTTCTTTTATCATATTTTATAAAATTCGCAAGTCACTATCATGTTGTATGGATTAAAACAGATTGTGAATACTGAAGATTAATTATATATTTGAAATATTTATAACAATGTCTGTTTGACAGAATAATATTCAGGATGAAGAATGGATCTTGAATGAATGTTTAGATAGAATACCAGAAACCTTACTTGGTGCTAAGTTACTCTTAGAATACAGTTTACAATTTACTGACCGTAAATCATATATATATGGTAATATTTTTTATTTATTTATTTTCTATATTTAATGCTTATTGTATATTTTATTCCTACTTGTTACTGACTATCAATCTTTTATTGTTTACTTTTTAAATAAAAGTAATGATTCAATATTTTACTATGATATTTATTAATTTTTTTCTGATCAAGATTTAAATGAGTATTAGAAATTGTATGCTATTCTTTTTTTTGTTTTTTCTGTTGCTGGTTTTAAAATTTTAAATTAAATTGTTTTTAAAAAAAGTCATGAAATACAAAATTATTTTTTAAAGGTGATTTTAGAATAATCTTACTACAACAATACAGTAAATATTTATTTTGAATTTTTCTTGCTGAAAATTCTTCAATTTTATATTCTTTTAAAATTATTGAAACTGTTAGATCTCATCTATACTTCTAGCACTACTACTCTTTCGGCGTGACAACCCATTACTGGATGCTGGGCTGCCTCAAGCAGGTTCCACCATTTCATTGCGTCCATGATTTTTTTATTATATATAGGCTTATACTGTTTCGTTTGTTCTCCTTCTCTATATTGATCCATTTTTCACTAGACCATGGATGTGTCAAGTACCTAATAGCATTATCATGGCAAGAAAGGCTTCTTCTACTACAACTTTTGGTCTCTCAACAATGTTGATATCATTGCATATCTCAGAATTTGTATGATTCTATTAAAGACCATTTCTCTGGTCTGGACCATTGTTTATCTGGTAGTTTTTCCAAAATAATATTGAAGAGTAGACATGTAAGGGAATCTCCTTGTCGAACGCTATTATCTGAGGTAGATCCTTTACATACATCCTCTTGAACTTGCACCACATATTC